GCTGCAAAGCAGAAAGATTTTGGGACTCAAGTTGCTTTGGAGTGGAGAGCTTTCTCTCCCAGATTTTGTCACCCTTGCTTATCCACCCTGAGAGATCTTGGGCCACAACGGAGGTTGGAAGGCTTCCTCCTCCATCGTGGGACCCCCCTCCCTCCCTCTCCTTCCTCCTCCCTCCTTTCCAAGGCTCCTTTCGCTTTTGCTTTCGCTTTTTCGGGAGCGAAGAGAGGAGGACTCAGTCGCGCGTGGGCGATGGCGCTGGAGGAGGTGTGCGGCGCGCCCTTGGCCTCCAAAACCTGGGACTGGGACCCCCGGGACCACCTTCGGGTCTCCCCCAACGAGGCCGGGCACTTCGCCTTCGGGATGAGGGAACCTCGCATCGCTGTGCCGCCCGGGAGGCAGGTCAGTCCAGGGAGAGAAGGAGGGGAAGGTGTCGGGAGCCTGATCCGAGCTCGACCTTTGAAGGGAGGAAGCCTCTGAGCGCGTGCAGAGTGCTGCCTTGGGAGCCCACTGCCTTTAGAACCTGGGAGCCAGGAGGGAAGGGTTTTAGTTTGGTGGGGGTGTGGACTTCAGGGCTTTCCCTTTCCTAAACACAGCCAAAGAGGCATCTACACCAGGCATGGGTCAACTTCGACCCTCCCTCCAGGGAGACTAGAACACGGAGCAATGGCTTCAAACTACAAGAGAGGAGATTCCACCTGAACATGAGGAAGAACTTCCTGACTGTGAGAGCCGTTCAGCAGTGGAACTCTCTGCCCCGGAGTGGTGGAGGCTCCTTCTTTGGAAGCTTTTAAACAGAGGCTGGATGGCCATCTGTCAGGGGTGATTTGAATGCAGTATTCCTGCTTCTTGGCAGAATGGGGTTGGACTGGATGGCCCAGGAGGTCTCATCCAACTCTTTGATTCTATGATTCTATGAGTCTATAATTTGGCCCTCAATTCCTAACAGCCTGGTCCAGAATTCTGGACCGCTCTCACAACCACCATGGCAGGCTACACAAAGAAGCCATTGAAGCAGGTGGACAAGTCGCAAAGGGAGGTGTGCCAAGCACCTGCTCTTCCTTTGGGTTGTTGTAGGTTTTTCCGGGCTATATGGCCATGTTCTAGAGGCATTCTCTCCTGACGTTTCGCCTGCATCTATGGCAAGCATCCTCAGAGGATGAAACATCTCAAATGGACATTCTTAGCCCCCTCCCGTCAGGAGAGAATGCCTCTAGAACAGTGGTTCTCAATGTTCCTAATGCGCGACCCCTTAATACAGTTCCTCATGTTGTGGTGACCCCCAGCCATTAAATTATTTTCATTGCTACTTCATAATTGTAATTTTGCTACTGTTATGAATCGTTATGTAAATATCTGATATGCAGGATGTATTCTCATTCACTGGACCAAATTTGGCACAAATACCCAATATGCCCAAATTTGAATACTGGTGGGGTTGGGATGGGAGTTCGAAAACATGCAAATGTGAGTAGATCAATAGGTACCACTCCGGCGGGAAGGTAACGGTGCTCCATGCAGTCATGCCGGCCACATGACCTTGGAGGTGTCTACGGACAACGCCGGCTCTTCAGCTTAGAAATGGAGATGAGCACCACACCCCAGAGTCAGACATGACTGGACTTAATGTCAGGGGACACCCTTTATGTTGTTCATTCGATCAGTCGTCTCCGACTCTTCGTGACCTCATGGACCAGCCCACGCCAGAGCTCCCTGTCGGCCATCACCACCCCCAGCTCCTTCAAGGTCAGTCCAGTCACTTCAAGGATGCCATCCATCCATCTTGCCCTTGGTCGGCCCCTCTTCCTTTTGCCTTCCACTTTCCCCAGCATGATTGTCTTCTCTTGGACTACCTTTACCTTTACCTTTTTGGATGGGAGGGTGATTTGGGAGTTGTAGTTGCTGGGATGTATAGTTCACCTACAATCAAAGAGCATTCTGAACTCCACCAATGATGGAATTGAACCAAACTTGGCAACACAGAACTCCCATGACCAATAGAAAATACTGAAGGATTTGGTGGGCATTGACCTTGAGTTTTGGAGTTGTAGTTCACCTACATCCAGAGAGCACTGAGGACTCAAACAATGATGGATCTGGACCAAACTTGGCATGAATACTCAATATGCCCAAATGTGAACAATGGTGTGAGTTTGGGGAAAATAGACCTTGACATTTGGGAGTTGTAGTTGCTGGGATTTATAGTTCACCTGCAACCAAAGAGCATTCTGAACCCCACCTATGATAGAATTAGGCCAAACTTCCCACACAGAACTCCCATGACCAACAGAAAATACTGTCTGTGATGGTCTTTGGCGACCCCTCTGACACTCCCTTGCGACCCCTCCAGGGGTCCCGACCCCCAGGTTGAGAACCACTGCTCTAGACATGGCCATATAGCCTGAAAAAACCTACAACAACCCAGTGATTCCGGCCATGAAAGCCTTCAACAATGTTCTCCTTTTCTTTAGCCTTCAGAGTTCTTGCAGACCCACTGCGAAGGCAGTGCTGATGGGCACCGGATCGAGCTGGCCCACGGCACCACCACCCTGGCCTTTACATTCCAACACGGAGTGATTGTAGCCACCGACTCTCGGGCATCGGCTGGCAACTACGTCTGTGAGTGCTTCTGTGGGCCATGGAGGAGAAAGTGTGGGTGGGTTTTTAGAAAGGGGGAAGATTATGACTTTCTTTATTTAAGCTGGCACCTTGTTGGCGCGTTACAGCATCATAAATTTAACTGCAATTGCATAAAGTTGGGCATAAAGCCAGTGTGACATGGCAGTTTGAGTTTTGGATTACAACTCTGGAGACTTGATTCAGAATCCCTGCTCTGGGTGAACTGTGTGCAAGTCCCACATTTCCAGGAAACCACCTCAGGGTCTCCATATGTTGGAAACAACTTGAAGGCACACAATAATATGAGTTGGATTGTGTCTTCGCTCAGTGTTCCAGAAGGAAATGGAACATAGTTACTACATGGCCTGTGCTGTCATGCGCTGGGCCTATAGCAATTGGCTTTTGAACAGGATGTGCTCTTTGTGCCCAGCGGGAAGCTGGGGTGCCTCAGCTGAGAGGCTCTAAGGATTTTCCTATACAAAAGTCTTTAGAAGCTTGAAAAGTTTAACAAAGTCCTTTATTATTGCTTAGGTCTTCAACAAACAATCAAATACTTCTTAGATCTTCAACAAGTCAAACAAATGCTTCTTATCTTGCCCACAAAGGACAGGCAACTGGCTTCGTGAACTGTTTCTTTTCTTTAAGAGTGGTTCTCAACCTGGGATCCCCAGATGTTTTTGGCCTTCAATTCCCAGAAATCCTAACAGCTGGTAAACTGGCTGGGATTTCTGGGAGGGGGGGGGGGAGAAAAACTTAAATGATGTTGCATGTTCTGTGGAAATGGATTGTAACCGTTAGAATAGATAAGAAAGGGGTGTGTGGGGATGGATAGGCGAAATACCACAGCTTTGGCGGGAAACAACTAGCTTTCACTTTGCTTTAGACAGATCGAATAATAAATGTGTGTCCAAGGAATCTCCTTGTGAGCTTGTTTTTATTCCAAAATCTGCCAAGAGCTGACACTAGCACTGTGGTAGAGAAGAACTCCAACGTCGTCTGCGCATTCAGAAGAAGACCTACAAGCCACTCTAAACACCTTCGCAGAAGCATACGAGAAGCTCGGCCTATCATTGAACATCAAGAAAACCAAAGTGCTCTTCCAGCAGTCACCAGCCAATCCATTTCCAATGCCAGAAATACAGCTTAATGGTGTAACATTAGAAAATGTTGACCATTTCCACTACCTTGGCAGCCACCTCTCCACCAAAGTCAACATTGACACTGAAATACAACACCGCCTGAGCTCTGCGAGTGCAGCATTTTCCCGAATGAAGCAGAGAGTGTTTGAGGACCGGGACATCCGTAGGGATACCAAGGTGCTTGTCTATAAAGCTATTGTCCTCCCAACCCTGCTATATGCCTGCGAAACATGGACTGTCTACAGACGTCACATGCAACTCCTGGAATGATTCCATCAGCGCTGCCTCCGAAAAATCCTGCAAATCTCTTGGGATGACAAGCGGACAAATGTAAGTGTGCTGGAAGAAGCAAAGACCACCAGCATTGAAGCGATGGTCCTCCACATCAACTCTGCTGGACCGGCCACGTTGTCCAGATGCCTGACCACCGTCTCCCAAAGCAGTTGCTGTACTCCGAACTCAAGAACGGAAAACAGAATGTTGGTGGACAGGAAAAGAGATTTAAAGATGGGCTCAAAGCCAACCTTAAAAATTCTGGCATAGACACTGAGAACTGGGAAGCCCTGGCCCTTGAGTGCTCCAGCTGGAGGTCAGCTGTGACCAGCAGTGCTGCAGGATTTGAAGAGGCATGAATGGAAGGTGAAAGAGAGAAATGTGCCAAGAGGAAGGCGCGTCAAGCCAACCCCGACCGAGACCGCCTTCCACCTGGAAACCTCACTGTGGGAGAAGATGCAGATCAAGAAAAGGGCTCCACAGCCACCTACAGACCCACCACCAGGACACCGAACTCAGAGGACCATCATCCTCGGACTAAGAGGGATCGTAAAGGTAGAGAAGACTAAAAACTTTGCAAAACTACAGCTCCCATGTTCCATTGAGCCATGGCAATGAAAGTGGTGTTAAGCTTCATTTAATTCCTCAGTGTAGGTGCCCCCAAAGTCTAGTTCCTCAAGTGCAAGGTTCATGGATCTGAGGAAGAGGATATAGTGTATGTAAGATGCTACAAGATGCTTTTGCATACTACAAAACCCTGCCAAACCGGTTTGACTGGAGACAAGCCTACAAAAGCAGTTATCTGCTACAAGAAGGAAAGACTCTGCCAGACTGAATCTGGACTCTACCCCTTGATAGCAATCTTTCTTTGGGTGGGATCTCTATGCTATCATGCATGGGCCCTGAGAGACCGCATGATTTGAGTGTTGGACTAAAACTCAGGGGGCCCTTCTACACTGCCATCTAAAATCCAGATTATCTTCTTTGAACTGGATTATATGGCAATGGTATTCCCCGTAGTCACCTACAGATGTGAGAGCTGGACCATAGGGAAGGCTGAGCGAAGGAAGATAGATGCTTTTGAACTGTGGTGTTGGAGGAAAGTTCTGAGAGTGCCTTGGACAGCAAGAAGATCCAACCAGTCCATACTTCAGGAAATAAAGCCCGACTGCTCATTGGAGGGAAGGATAGTAGAGGCCAAGATGAAGTCCTTTGGCCACATCATGAGAAGACAGGATATTGTTTCTAGCGCCCACTTTTTGCTTGATATTCAGGCAGTGCTTCTTGTAGGTCAGAGCACGGTCCAGAGTGACTCCCAGGTATTTGGGTGTGCTGCAATGCTCCAGTGGGATTCCTTCCCAGGTAATCCTCAGAGCTCGGGATGCTTGTCTGTTCTTGAGATGAAAAGCACATGTCTGTGTTTTAGATGGATTAGGGATCAGCTGGTTTTCCCTGTAATAGGCAGTAAGAGCACCTAGAGCTTCGTAGAGCTTCTGTTCAACCATCTCAAAGCTCCCTGCTTGAGCAGTAATGGCACGATCATCAGCATAGATGAAACTCTCTGTCCCTTCTGGCAGTGGCTGGTCATTTGTGTAGATGTTGAACATGGATGGAGCAAGCACGCTCCCCTGAGGCAGGCCGTTCTTCTGTTTCCGCCATCTGCTTCTCTGGCCCTGGAACTCAACAAAAAAGCTCCTGTTTTGTAGCAGGTTTCCTATGAGGCGTGTGAAGTGGTAGTCCTTTGTGATATTATACATTTTTCTCAGGAGGAGGTGGTGGTTCACAGTATCTGGCTGACAGTTCTATGAAGACAGCTCCTGTGATCTGCTGCCTTTCAAAGCCATCTTCTATGTGCTGAGTCAGGTTCAGCACTTGCGATGTGCAGCTTTTGCCTTTCCTGAAGCCAGCTTGCTGTGGGATCAGACATGGGTCTATTTTTCCATAATTCTATGCAAAATAAGTCTCTCCAGAACTTTGTAAAGATGGCATAACAAGGAGATTGGTCTATAGCTTTTTGGGTCATTATGGTCTTTGCCTGGCTTCAAGATGGCGATGACTCTTGCTTTCCTCCAGATTTTGGGGATCTGACAGGATGCCGTGCAGTTGTTCATCAGCTCCAGCAGCCAGCGCCTTGCTTTTGGGCCAAAGTTCTTGATTTGTTCCATCTGTAGATCATCCAAGCCAGCTGCTTTGCCATTCTTACATTTATTGAGAGCCATGTCCAATTCAGTAGATGTAAAAGGTTCATGAGGGTTGTTGTTCTCAATCTCTTGTTGTCAGGCTATTGGTTAATTAGGCAGTTTTCTGGTGAAACTGCCTAATTAAAAGCACAACGGAAGTTTTTAATTCCCTGCGAAAGATGAACAAGGAGGAGGCCTGTCTGATCTCTCTAGGGAGGGAGTTCCAGAGGTGGTGGGACACCACTGAGAAGGCCCTCTCTGGTCCCCATCAACCATGCTTGAGATGGTGGTAGGAGAGCATTTTGGCATGGAACAAATGTCCAGAGAGGTGGTGGATCTCCCTTTCTGGATATCTTAAAAGAGACTAGACAACTTCCTGCTCTGACTTTAGACCTCCAGGTGTTTGATACTTCAACTCCTAGCTTGAACAACTGTCAGGAATTCTGGGAGCTGAAGTCCAAACACCTGGAGGTGTAAATGTTGGGAACTAACTGAAGGGGATTTAACTGTACTAACTGAAGGGGATTTACTGAGTAAAAGGTTGGACTCAATGTCCTACGAGACTGCTTCCTATTCTATAATTCTATATGTGGAGCTTGTTTCCTAGAGGTACTAAATTCATCTGAACAATTTTTTACAGGTTGAGAAAATCCTTTTTTTGCTATAAAATGCCATTTTCAAAGCCCTGTACCAAGGTGATTTGACACATTTTGATGATCTGTACATAATATTCTACTCCTAGCCAACAATGTGCTACTATCTATAACTCATTTTTTTCTTTTTTTCCCCAATTTTGGAAACAAACTTCATGTATAGCTGTGGTTCTCAACTATGGGTCCCCAGATGTTTTGGCCTTCAACTCCCAGAAATCCCAACAACTGGTAAAGTAATAGGCCAAACCATCTGGGGACTCACAGGTTGAGAACCACTGCTGTGTAGTAAACAGCATACCACTCAAAGTGATAGTCCGTAGGCCAGTGGTTCTCAACCTTGGGTCCCCAGATGTTTTGGCCTTCAACTCCCCGAAATCCTAACAGCTGGTAAACTGGCTGGGATTTCTGGGAGTTGTAGGCCAAAAACATCTGGGGACCCCAGGTTGAGAACCACTGCCGTAGGCTATTGGTGCTGGTCCCTGGCAAGTTTCCAGGAAAGGAAGAAACAGTTGTCTCAGACAGGTACAAATTTAGTCTCAGTTCTTGGCATGTTGTGGTGATAATTTCCAGATAGCTTGAGGAGCATTGGCCTACAATGCCTCCTATTTTATTTCTGGCAGTCTCCCTTCCACGGCGTAACTGTTCAACGGTGGAATATGTTGCCTCCAAGTGTGGTGGTGTCTTCTTCCTTGAAGTTTTTAAGACAGTGGTTCTCCACCTGTGGGTCCCCAGATGTTTTGGCCTTCAACTCCCAGAAATCCTAACAGCTTGGATTTCTGGGAGTTGTAGGCCAAAACACCTGTGTAAGGAAGGTCTGGATTATGTTTTCCTGTATGATAGAAAGAGGTTGGACTGGATGGTCCTTGAGGATGTCTTCCAAGTCCATGATTCCACAGACTTCTTCTCATGTCTCTCCTTCTCTCATTTTACTCCTGTCCTGCAGCTACTCTGCTTTTCAACAAAGTCATTGAGATCAACCCCTACTTGCTGGGCACCATGTCAGGGAGTGCTGCGGACTGCCAGTACTGGGAACGCCTCCTGGCCAAGCACTGCAGGTGTGTCTCCTGAACTCATGAAGGTCCTCCTCTGCTTGTCAGAAATAGGGGGACTTGAGGCTCCTTGGCTTCTTCCACTCCCCTTTATTTCCATTTCTTTCCACTCCCAACCCCATCTTTCCTTCTCTGGATCCAGACTCTATTACCTGCGCAACAAGGAACGGATCAGCGTCTCAGCAGCCTCCAAGCTGTTGGCCAACATGCTGTGCGAGTACCGAGGGATGGGCCTCTCTGTGGGCAGCATGTTGTGCGGATGGGACAAGAAGGTAAAATGTTGAGATTAATTTCACAATTCAGCAGCAGGTCAGTTGCACAACTTCAGCGCTTTCCAGTAGCTTCTTCCTGCACAGTATTTTCAGTCAACTGCTCCCACAAACTCACAGACACTTGAGCACATGCCCGGCCATTGTCAGTTTTACTATTGTTTTCCCCTCCAATCTAGATGACACTACAAACTTACCACAGCACACAGTTATATCTTGTCTTAGCAGACAGGTTCTTTTAATCAATTACATAGAGCCTTCGACGAACAGCATCACAGCACAAGGAGAGAAATATACACTGTACATGACTTCCTTATATACAATTCTATACAATTACACATAGCAATCTCTGATTGGTTCCCAACTCATTAACTTAACTCAGACCCAGGATTACATCATTCACAATCACCTGGACCAGGCCAGAACACATTCCCCAAATGAAGTTCTATATACAGTTAATGCATGACTCAGCATTTCCAATAGAAGCCTATTAGCAGTGCATGACTCAGCTATATTACATTACAATACATTGTAAAACCTGACATAAAAACTGGTGTCAATTGTGGTAGATCTCCTTTTTTTTCTGGGGTGGAGGGGGTACCATAGAAATAAGAACACGGGGAGATGATGTTTTCATCCCTTTCCTGCCAGGGAATGAGCCTGTGAAAGGAAGAAGCAGGAACCCTGTCGCTGTCCCTTGTTGCAACCTCACTCTCTGGCAGAAGAGCCTTCGAAACACTATCCCCTTCTGCCCCAATTGCCGTCAGAACAGAGCTCTGTCACTCCCGTGAAAATAACCTACTCAAAGGAGGTTATGAAGGGTGGCCTAGGAGATGTTACTTAGTTATCCAAACTTAACTAATTAGCTGATGTTGAATATCAGATGATGATGATGATGAGGAGGAGGATAATAATGATAGAAATAGCAGCAGAAGCACAACTGCAGCACAGCTATGGAGAATCCTGTTTTCTACCGCTGTGTATTTAGCTTGAAAAATACAAAATAAGTTCAGGTTGAGAGGTCTTAAACCAGTGTTTCTCAACTTGGGGGTCGGTACCCCTGTGGGGGTCGCGAGGGGGTGTCAGAGGGGTCGCCAAAGACCACCAGAAAACATTGTATTTTCTGTTGGTCATGGGGGTTCTGTGTGGAAAGTTTGGTCCAATTCTATCATTGGTGGGGTTCAGAATGCTATTTCATTGTGGGTGAACTATAAATCCCAACAACTACAACTCCCAAATGGCAAGGTCTATTTTCTCCAAACTCTACCAGTGTTCACATTTGGGCATATTGAGTATTTGTGCCAAGTTTGATCCAGATCCATCATTGCTTGAGTCCACAGTGTTCTCTGGATGTAGGTGAACTACAACTCCAAAAACTCAAGGTCAATGTCCACCAGACCTTCCCAGTATTTTCTCTTGGTCATGGGAATTCTGTGTGCCATGTTTGATTCAATTCCATCATTGGTGGAGTTCAGAATGCTCTTTGATTGTAGGTGAACTATAAATCCCAGCAACTACAACTCCCAAATGACAAAATCAACCCACCCAACCCACCAGTATTCAAATTTGGGCGTATTGGGTATTTGTGCCAAATTTGGTCCAGTGACTGAAAATACATCCTGCATATCAGATATTTACATTACGATTCATAATAGGAGCAAAATTACAGTTATGAAGTAGCAATGAAAATAACGTTTATGGTTGGGGGTCACCACAACATGAGGGCCTGTACTAAGGGGCCACGGCATTAGGAAGGTTGAGAACCACTGTCTTAAACCTATCACCCCTGGGAAATATTTTCACCCATCTTTCCTAACCAAAACACCTAGAAATGCTAAAGGTCACAAAAAGGCCTCAAGGGCTGCTCTGAGCCCATCCCTGCACAACATCCAATGGCAAAGAAGGACCAAATGTATATGGGTGATTAAATGTCCCTCTTGGCTCTAGTCTCAGGGGTGGGAGTCATGTGACTCTGGGAGATGTTGAGACAGCTGCCCACAGAAGGGCCAGCCAACAGAACCAATGGTAAGGGATTCTAGGAGTTGCAACCCAGTTATAGCTCCATACTTATAGAATCAGAGAGTTGGAAGAGACCTCCTGGGCCATCCAGTCCAACCCCATTCTGCCAAGAAGCAGGAATATTGCATTCAAATCACCCCTGACAGATGGCCATCCAGCCTCTGTTTAAAAGCTTCCAAAGAAGGAGCCTCCACCACACTCCGGGGCAGAGAGTTCCACTGCTGAACGGCTCTCACAGTCAGGAAGTTCCTCCTCATGTTCAGATGGAATCTCCTCTCTTGAAGTTTGAAGCCATTGTTCCGCGTCCTAGTCTCCAGGGAAGCAGAAAACAAGCTTGCTCCCTCCTCCTGTGGCTTCCTCTCACATATTTATACATGGCTATCATATCTCCTCTCAGCCTTCTCTTCTTCAGGCTAAACATGCCCAGCTCCTTAAGCCGCTCCTCATAGGGCTTGTTCTCCAGACCCTTGATCATTTTAGTCGCCCTCCTCTGGACACATTCCAGCTTGTCAATATCTCTCTTGAATTGTGGTGCCCAGAATTGGACACAAACTTCAAAGAGCCATGGAGGGAGCTGATCAGATTGAGGTTGGAGACTGGAAGGGGTCTTCATCCCTAAAAACCTCTTACATGGTGGATGCATTTGAGAGAGGGCTGTGGGTTTAGGGGATTGGGAATGAAGTATTTGCTAGGAGTAGGTGTAGCTGGAATTGTAGCAAGGCCTAGCAGGTCATCATCATCATCATCACCACTGTCAATGTCGCTAAAACAAGAGATGAAAGAAGATACACAGAGATAAATACAACTTAAAACCTACAGATGAAATGCAAATTAAAATGTCACAACTTAAAACTGATGGAGTAGGCCTGCTGGAAGAGATGAACCTTCAATACCATCTTAAATTCCAACAGATGATGTAGTTGGTGGTTCTCTTCTGGAAGGTCATTCCGCAGTCTTGGGTCCTCCAGTCCTCTGGCTGACATCTGCCAATTGGGTTCTGGCTGGGTGGTAAGGACAGGAGTGGGCATTGATGCTTCTGAGAGACAACCTTTCCTCCAATTATTGATTTCTCCAATTGTAGGGACCAGGTCTTTATTACATAGACAGTAACGGGGTACGCCTGAGTGGGCCCCTCTTCTCCACCGGAAGTGGAAAAACTTATGCCTACGGAGTGCTGGACAGCGGACACCGTCCTGACCTGACTGTGGAGGAAGCCTATGACCTTGGCCGAAAAGCCATTTCGTATGCCACGCACCGTGATGCCTATTCGGGTGGAGTGGTGAATAGTAAGTACGCCTGACCAGAACTTGGGGAAGATCCTATTTTGGTCTATGATTCCCATAAGCATAGCAGACCGGGATATAGCACAGCTGGTAAACCACGACCGGCAGCAGTTGCCAGTTCATAGCCTGGGTCAGGGTGAGCACCCAACTGTCAGCCCAGCTCACTGTTTACCTAAGCAGTTCAAAAACAGCTTAGAACTGTAAGTAGAGAAATTAGGTACCGCTAAAAAGTGGGGGAGGTATTTTACAACACCATAAAATAAAAAAGACCAGAAAATGCCAGTGACCAAAAGGAAGGAGGAAGTCCTGATGGCTCTTTGTCATAGAGGATGGGGTGATAGCACTCCCCCTGTGGCTGGATTTGAGCACCACCTCCAAGGCACAGAAAAGTTGAATGTTTGCTGTGTATGTGTACTGTGATTCACCCTGAGTCCCCTTGGGCAGATAGGGCGGAATATAAATAAAGTGTTGTTGTTGTTGTTGTTATCCCTTAGATCCTGGCTTGCTGAAAAATTGCAGTCCCGCAAAGCAATTTTTGCGAGTTCTGTGTTGGGACTCAGCCTGTGTTTGACCCTGAATCTGTTATAGTGTTTCCCCCTTCTAATGTTTCTGAGCCTGTCTTGGATGTCAGTGAGGATGAGGTGCAAAATGGAGACACTTTGGACAATAAGGTTACTACAGACTCTGATTGAGAAGGGTCAGGGGAAAGGCTAAGTTCTCATGAGAAAATTCCAGGCTTGAGTTTGCAGGAAAGTTCACTCCCTTCTCCAGGCTCGAGTCTGCAAGATAGTTTCACACCTGCAGTTAATGAAGAGATAGATAAGACCAGTCGCCGTCTGGAAATCAGCCAGAACCGTAGAGAGGCCCAATGGTCAGAAAGAATTCGGCAATTAAGGTCAAAGACTGGGGGGAGTAGAAATCAGTTTCTGGGACTTAAATTGAGCTCTTAGGGAATTTCCTTCAGACCAGGCATCGTTTGGTTTCAAGTCAAGTCTTTTGGATATTCTTGTGGCCTCGTCTCCTAGGTTTCCTGGCTTTTCAAGTGGATTAGCAGTGGCTATGTTCATGGTTTTTATAGAAGGCATTTGATATTTCTTTGCATCTGGATTTAAACAGCAAGCTTTTGGATCTTTGATATTATTCCTATGTTTGGACACTGTTTATGTTACTGCTTATTTGGCTTTTTTGCTTTTGGACTTTTATCAACTTTATATTCATATCTTTTATTGGCTCCAATTATTCTTCAAATAAAGATGACTCTTTTTTCATCCAAGGTGTGGTGTAATTAATGATTAGAGGGTCCTGTTCCTACTCTGGGGTGCAACATTCTGCTTCTGCTTCTTTCAATCCCAGTATTCCATCTCTTTGTTTTGGTTTGCTTGTTTGTTTTTTGGGTGGTGAAAGTTGGATCTTGTTTTGCACATTTTTAACTCGCACCATGTTCCCTCTTTGCATCCAATTAGTGTACCATATGCAGAAAGACGGCTGGATCCGGGTCGGACGCACCGACGTCAGTGAACTGCTCTCCCAGTATGCCGAGGCCAAGAAGTGAAACCAAACTGAGGTCCAACTGGGAATGGCAAATGTCAGATGTCTGGACACTCAGGACTGAAGAAAGACACAGACACAAAAATGCAGCAAACGGGGCAATAATAAAGTATCTCAAACTTTTCCTTTTTATTGTCGTCGTGTTTACATCTTCTTCTAGTTGTTTCTGACTTATCATAGAATCCATTAGTGTCAAAAATGCGTGACTTGCTCAAGAAAACCCTTGTGCATTTCCTAACTTAGTGGAGATGCAAACTCTGCCCTCCAGAATTATAGCCTAACAGATTTATTTGTTTGATAGCCCACTTTCCTCCCACAATGAATCCAAAATGGCTCGCACCAAAAATTAATTTATTTGTCGTGTCAGGGCAACCAGTCAATTATATTACATTTCTAACAGAACAAAGCAAACAAACAGACAAAATACAAAATTTGTGAGTTTGGTAGTTGATTAAATGTCCTTTGACCAGTATCTGGCCACTTGGAGTGCTTCTGGTGTTGCTGCAAGAAGGTCCTCCATTGTGCATGTGGCAGGGCTCAGGTTGCATTGCAGCAGGTGGTCAGTGGTTTGCTCTTCTCCACATTCGCATGTCGAGGATTCCACTTTGTGGCCCCATTTCTGAAGGTTGGCTCTGCATCTCGTGGTGCCAGAGCGCAGTCTGTTCAGCACCTTCCAAGTCGCCCAGTCCTCTGTGTGCCCAGGGGGGAGTCTCTCATTTGGTATCAGCCATTGGTTGAGGTTCTGGGTTTGAGCCTGCCACTTTTGGACTCTCGCTTGCTGAGGTGTTCCAGCGAGTGTCTCTGTAGATCTTAGAAAACTATTTCTTGATTTAAGTCGTTGACGTGCTGGCTGATACCCAAACAAGGGATGAGCTGGAGATGTCTCTGCCTTGGTCCTTTCACTATTGGCTGCTACTTCCCGGCGGATGTCAGGTGGTGCAATACTAGCTAGACAGTGTAATTTCTCCAGTGGTGTAGGGCGCAGACACCCCGTGATAATGCGACATGTCCCATTAAGATCCACATCCACTGTTGTAGCGTGGTGAGATGTGTTCCACACTGGGCATGCATACTCAGCAGCAGAATAGCACAGCGCAAGGGCAGATGTCTTCACTGTATCTGGTTGTGATCCCCAGGTTGTGCCAATCAGCTTTCGTATGATATTGTTTCTAGCACCCACTTTTTGCTTGAGTTCAGGCAGTGCTTCTTGTAGGTCAGAGAACGGTCCAGAGTGACTCCCAGGGATTTGGGTGCGCTTCCAGTGCTCCAGTGGGATTCCTTTCCAGGTGATCTTCAGAGCTCGGGATGCTTCTCTGTTCTTGAGATGAAAGGCACATGTCTGTGTTTTAGATGGATTAGGGGATCAGCTGGTTTTCCCTGTAATAGGCAGTAAGAGCACCTAGAGCTTCGGAAAGCTTCTGTTCTACCAACTCAAAGCTCCCTGCTTGAGCAGTAATGGCACGATCATCAGCATAGATGAAACTCTCTGTCCCTTCTGGCAGTGGCTGGTCATTTGTGTAGATGTTGAACATGGATGGAGCAAGCACGCTCCCCTGAGGCAGGCGATTCTTCTGTTTCCGCCATCTGCTTCTCTGGCCCTGGAACTCAACAAAAAAGCTCCTGTTTTGTAGCAGGTTTCCTATGAGGCGGGTGAGGGTAGTCCTTTGTGATAGTATACATACACCAAACATTAATACAGTACAACTGAAACAGGCAGACATACAAACATGGAAAACTATTATCTATAAAACCCACTAAATTAGAATAGTTTAAAGCACACCAGGCCCCCTGGTGGTGCAGCAGGTTAAACCGCTGAGCTGCTGAACTTGCTGACTGAAAGCACTTGGGGAGTGGGGTGAGCTCCCACTTTTAGCCCCTAGCAGTTAAGAAACATGCAAATGTGAGTAGATCAATAGGTACTGCTTCGGTGGGAAGGTAGTAGCACCCCATGCAGTCATGCTGACCTCATGACCTTGGAGGTGTCTATGGACAACACCGGCTCTTCAGCTTAGAGCACCACCCCCCAGAGTTGGACACAACTAGTCTTAATGTCAGGGGAAACCTTTAAATTACCTAAAGCACATCAAGCCCATTACACATTAAGTACCTGCATACCCATAGCACTACCCCAACCAGCTAAAACCTGGCTTAGGTAAGTCTTGATTTTCCAGTGAAAGGGAAGTGAGATCCAACCCAGTCTCCATTGACGGAGTCCCAAAGTCTTAGAGCAGCCACCATGAAGACTGCCCAAGGACCTCACCAGCCTCATCAGAGCTATGGAATTGGTGGGACTGAGAGTAAACTCGCCTGCAAAGATTGGGACAGGATCAGGATCCAAAATGACCATAACAGATTGGAGAGCTGGGCCAAAACCAACAAAATATATGTCAACAGAAAGAAATGTATGGCACTATATTTAGGAAATAAAAATTAAATGCACAGATACAGGATGGGTGATAGACCAGCCTTGAAAATAGTCCCTGTGAAAGGGACCTAGGAGTCTTAGTACAGCATTTCTCAATCAGGGGTTGAGACCCCTTGTGGGGTCGCAAGGGGGTGTCAGAGATGTCTCCAAAGACCATCAGAAAACGCAGTATTTTCTTTTTTGTGGGAAGTTTGGCCTAATTCTATCATTGGTGGGGTTCGGAATGCTCTTTGATTGTAGGTGAACTAAATCCCAGCAACTACTCCTCCAAATGTCAAGGTCTATTTTTCCCAAACTCCACCAGAGTCCACATTTGGACATATTATTTGAAAGCTTGGTAGTTGATTAAATGTCCTTTGACCAGTATCTGGCCGCTTGGAGTGCCTCTGGTGTTGCCGCAAGAAGGTCCTCCATTGTGCATGTGGCAGGGCTCAGGTTGCATTGCAGCAGGTGGTCAGTGGTTTGCTCTTCTCCACACTCGCATGTCTTGGATTCCACTTTGTGGCCCCATTTCTAGCTTTGGAACACCCTCCCTATAGAGGTACGATCAGCCCCCTCGCTGATGGTGTTTCGGAATAGATTGAAGACATGGATGTTTAAACAAGCATTCGGTTAATCCGTTGCAACGAATTTTGTTGACTAAAGGATTGGTAATCATGGACGATGAATTTTGGACTGCGATTCCAGTTATGAGATGCATGGGATTATTATTGGTGGCCCAATAATTTGTATTGTATATGTGTTCCTCCAGCAAAGGATCACCGCCTTGTTGGGGCGCTGGAGCTTGAGCACCTCAATGATGTCATGAGCGAAACCGTGAAGGGACACCCAAGACGGGACGGTTGTGGCAGAGAGGTCAGACCAAGCGTGATCCCTGGGGAAGGCAATGGCAAACCACTCCAGTATCCTTGCCAAGAAAACTAAATGGACCAGTACAACCAGAGATATGTCGGTATGCCATTGGAAGATGGGACTCCCAGGTCGGAAGATGGCCAAAATGCTACTGGGGAGGAGCAGAGGATAAGTTCAACTAGCCCCAGATGTGATGACGCAGCTAGCTCAAAGCCGAAAGGAAGGCTAGCGGCCGACGGTACTGGAGGTGAACGACGAATCCGATGCTCTAAAGATCAACACACCATAGGAACCTGGAATGTAAGATCTATGAGCCAGGGCAAATTGGATGTTGTTATTGGTGAGATGTCAAGACTAAAGATAGACATTCTGGGGGTCAGCGAACTGAAATGGACTGGAATGGGCCACTTCACATCAGATGACCACCAGATCTACTACTGCGGACAAGAGGAACATCGAAGAAATGGAGTAGCCTTCATAATTAATAAGAAATTATCTAAAGCGGTGCTTGGATACAACCCAAAAAATGACAGAATGATCTCAATTCGAGTGCAAGGAAAGCCTTTCAACATTACAGTGATCCAAATATATGCCCCAACCACAGCTGCTGAAGAAGCAGAAGTAGATCAGTTCTATGAGGATCTGCAGGACCTACTGGATAATACACCAAAAAGAGACATTATTTTCATTACAGGAGACTGGAATGCCAAGGTGGGAGTCAAATGACAACTGGGATCACAGGCAAGCATGGTCTGGGAGAACAAAATGAAGCGGGACGCAGGCTGATAGAATTTTGCCAGGAAAACTCGCTGTGTATAACGAATACTCTCTTCCAACAACCTAAAAGACGGCTTTATACATGGACCTCACCAGATGGTCAACACCGAAATCAGATTGACTACATCCTTTGCAGCCAAAGGTGGCGGACATCCATCCAGTCAGTGAAAACAAGACCTGGGGCTGACTGTAGCTCAGATCACGAACTTCTTATTGCTCAATTTAGAATAAAACTAAAGAGATCAGGGAAAATACACAGACCAGTTAGATATGATCTCACTAACATTCCTAGCGAATATACAGTGGAAGTGAAGAACAGATTTGAAGGACTAGATTTAGTAAACAGAGTCCCAGAAGAACTATGGACAGAAGTCCGAGACATTGTTCAGGAGGCGGCAACAAAGTACGTCCCAAAGAAAAAGAAAACCAAGAAGGCAAAATGGTTGTCTGCTGAGACACTGGAAGTAGCCCAAGAAAGGAGGAAAGCAAAAGGAAACAGTGATAAGGGGAGATATGCCCCGTTAAATGCGCAATTCCAGAGGTTAGCCAGAAGAGATAAGGAACTATTTTTAAATAAGCAATGCATGGAAGTGGAAGAAGACAACAGAATAGGAAGGACAAGAGACCTCTTCCAGAAAATTAGAAACATTGGAGGTAAATATCAGGCAAAAATTGGTATGATAAGAAACAAAGATGGCAGGGACCTCACAGAAGCTGAAGAGATCAAGAGAAGGTGGCGATACTATACAGAAGATCTGTATAGGAAGGATAATAATATAGAGGATAGTTTTGACAATGTGGTGAGTGAATTAGAACCAGACATCCTGAGGAGTGAGGTTGAATGGGCCTTAAGAAGCATTGCTAACAACAAGGCAGCAGGAGACAACGGGATCCCAACTGAGCTGTTTAAAATCTTGAAAGATGATGCTGTCAAGGTGATGCATGCCATATGCCAGCAAATATGGAAAACACAAAAATGGCCATCAGACTGGAAACAAT